CTTTCTTCTAATAGCTGGCACACTGAACTTTTACGTCAATCGAGGCTGCCGGAAGTAATACTCATTTAACGTTACCCAGTGGGCACCTGTGAACCTAAGTCGCGGAGGCGAGCAACATTACCCACGCCACACTGCCACAGATACCCGTTTATAGGGTGGGCCATACTCAGACATCACACAATGGAGAACAACACACAGAAAGAAACATGCATGCCCTGAGCAGGATTTGAACCCGCAGACATTGGCTTCGCAGTCAGAGACGCTAACCATTTTTTTTGTCTAATCGTTTAAATAATCTTTTCTTCTCTAATAAAAAGAGTCTCGTATAAATAATTCCGAGAAGGCTAAACTAATTTCTAACTAAGTAGCACGTGCTACTTCACTTTTAACTCTACTATCTTTATAAAAAGTGCCACTGATTACATAAGTTCAAAACATCTTTCCAGTTTTCTAGAATAATAGCAAGAAAAATGTTTATTTCAGAGCAATTTTCAGGAAAATAAAACACAGGTTTTTTTTCTTAATCCCTTCTTTTAAATAAACTATTCTTTTACATTAGAGTCTTAAATGAGAAAATAAATTGCGCTTTCAATTTCATTTAAGTTAAATAATAATTCTTTTGTGTTATTTAAACCTAAATATTTTCTATGCTTTTGAAAATACTGCGCAACATTTAATATCATCTTCTCTTTCTAGTTTAATACAAAGAAAACAATTTTCGTTTCAACACAACTTCACAAAGTAAAGCTGAAAGCAATTTTCATTCTGAAATGATTCTTTTTATTTCATTTTATTATTGTACTAAATGAGGACTGACAAAAAAATTTTCTTCATCAAGAAACAACAAAAGGATTCCTAACTTTCTCGTTTACTTATAGGAAATACTGAGCAAAGAAGATTCAAATGACACGTTGAAAAATAACGAGCTTGTTCACGAACTGTCAAGTAAAACGGAACCAAAGCATGTAATTGAAAGGTCAAGGAGGCCAAGGAATGGCCACCATTTCAATTCAACATTTTAAAAAATATACTTGAGGCTATAAACGTGCTTTCCCGTTCAACATAGAAATGCCTTGCCGTTACAAAAGGATGACCTGAGGAAGGTATCGGTCAAGTGCCGGTCGCCATTTATTTCAGAATCTCGCCATCTTCGAGTTTTCTCGCCATTATTTGACGTCACAAAAGGATAATGCGGAAGGCAGGAGAGATGTGACTCATATATAATTTATACATCTTTGTAGGTGATACGGTAGGTTACAATCGTAGAAGCTTTTGTCATATAAAATTGTCATAAGAAATATTGCACTCCTTATTGTATTAGAAGAAGTCCATAAATATTATTATAATTTTTTTATGAAATATTGGGCCCATTCCCATCTCTGTAATTTCAAACGTTATTCACACAACATCCTTTCCTTAATGATATCATTATGCGTGTGCAATAAATTCCTTTATTTTCCTTCTCTCTTTTTTTATTATTGTACACTGTAAGAAATTCCAGATCAATTTATGGTAAAAAGTACTGGCACCTTGGGTGCATCATTTATAAAATCCATTATTTTAGTAGTATTTATTTATTAACAGTGATTCATTGATTTTATAGTAACTACTGTTGCAAAAATTACAGTGTATCAGGTTTTTTGTTCCCCAAAATTTTACAATTAAATTGGTCTGTACCCATAAGCATAATTTGATCCAGAACATTATACAGTGGATGTTTATAGAAATAAATGAAAAAAATTTTTGTTATATTACCTTAGATTTGTAAACAAGAATGATTATTTAATTTTTTTTTTCCTTGGAAAATTACTTTTGTATCTCTTAAGTCATTTTCTTTCGCAACAAAAATAAAATATATTATTTATTAGCAATAAAAATTCCTGCATTGCATGAGTCTGTACAAATTTTAAGAACCCAAATTAATATAAATTTAAAATGGTTTTCAAATCAGTTATTTGAAAAATTTTTCATCATGTATAATGACTAATTTATGCATAAGGACTTAATATCAATAGTAGTAAGTGCAGTATCAATTGAAAAGAAAACATTTCCATTACTTTTACTTAAGAAACGGGAAACTTTTTATGATTAATTGAAGCTTTTTAAATCCGATGTATTTGATGTAATTAAATTAATAAAAAAGGATACTATCTCGCAAAGTACTAATAAATAAATTGTATTTTATTTTCTCGCTGAATTTCTTTTAGTGTTACATTAAAACAGATTGTGCGTTTTTAAAATTAGTGAATAGATTATTTTT